ACAGTAAGTGTGCAGCATGGATTTATGGAGAGCAAGGCCCAGATTCAGAGAGGCTTACTAGTTAATCATTTGGAATTTGCTGTAGAAAAATTGAATAATAAACAAAAACACAATGAATAAAGTAAAATATTATATATTGTTCATTTTTATCCAGAGACAATCATTGTTAATGACTGTATATTTCTTGCCTAAATTTTTATGCAAATATATTATATATGGCTTTTTAATTATAAGAATTAGTAGAAGAAATGGCTTTACATTTTCTGCTGTGTAGGGATAGATTTGTGTTTAATAACTAAAGTGTTTTAGAAAGACTCTGTTTAGAGAGTGTTTTAGGGTTTTTTCCTCAAGATATCACTCACATATATCCTGTAGTATCTGCAACTCAGTAACGATTCTCTTTATGTCCTTTATTCTCATGTTTCTCCTAAAATGCAGGTACATCTGACAGAAATAGATAAACTTGTTCATGAAGGATTAATCAGATTTATGCATTGTTTCTCAAAGGCAGGGTAGTCTTGGAGAGAGAAGTTTTGGAGAGGGAGTTTACTTTGTACCAGTAGCCGGGAAATAGTTTATTTAGTAGACATTTACAGAGTTTCTACTATGTGTGAGGCATTGGACTGGGTTCTTAAAAAGAATGAGATTACAGACAGCAAGAGCATATATGGCTCAGCCTGTAATCCCGCGCCTTTGGGAGGCTGAGGTGAGTGGATTGCCTGAGCCCGTGGGTTCGAGACCCACCTGGGCAACTTGACGAGAGCTCATCTCTACAACAAATCAAAAATTAGCCGGGCGTGGTAGCGCGTACCTGTAGTTTCAGCTACTTGGAAGGCTGAGGCGGAAGAATCACCGGAGCCCAGCAGGTCGAGGCTGCGGTGGCCGGGAGCGGCCACTGCACTCCAGTCTGGGCGACAGAGTGAGACTCCAACTCAAAAAAAAAAAAAAGAACGTATAAAAGGAACATTGAAGGAAAAATTATCTTTTTTTACTTAATAAGGGTGCCTTGGTCTATTTTAGAAGATTAGATTACAACAAATGTTAGACAGTCATGATGGAGATGTGAAAGCAAAGAATATTGTTTGCTGATTATTCATACTGATGAAGATAAATACAAGGTAGCTAGATTTCAATATCTCACTGTTTTTTCTTGTTGTTTAGAGGAAATAGATAGTATCATTGTAAAGATAGTTGTATGCTAAAGCTGAGCCAATTTATTCCTGGTTGATAACTTCAACAAAACTAGTATTAAGTGTTTTGATTTTAAAGATCTGTAGCTTAGGCTAAGTAAAGATTCTGTTTGTATATCAGATTATACTAATCCATAAACTCTTTTGTGCTTATTCTGTAGGACTACACTTGGGTACCTTGGAGGTCTTTCTTGATAACTCTATTAAGAGCAGTTTTGGTAGGGCGATGGAACCAAAAAAGGCCCTAATAGAATGTGTTAAAGTGAGAATTAGAAGTGAGAAAGCAGAAACAGTTCTTTGGAGGAATTTATTGTAAAGAGGGCAGTATATATATGGGGCACAGGAGCTCAAGAGTATTTTATCTTTAAGATAGATGATGTCAAGTCATGTTTGTATGTTAGACTTGTATATTATCATAGTTAAGATGGAGAAGTTGATGGTGCTGGAGAGAGTGGAGAAAGAGGAATGTACTAAGTCAATGAAGAGGTAAGGGAAATTGAGATCTGAAAACCAGTGAAGGTATTGATCTTATATATGAGTAAGGATACTTCTCCCATTCTGGTGACTTCATATTCGTTGCTTTCTATCTTGGGACAATTTTAACTTTTTGAAAGTTTTCTTTTTAGTGAATAAAAATCTGCTTCCCTAGTTTCAATATTCAAGTATTTAAAGACTGGATTATTTCTAAGTTTTTATGTTAAACTTTTCAAATTCGTCTCTCTGGTTCTTTTCTTCTCCAAGATGCTGATCATACCACACTACTTAGAGTTTTGGAATATAGTGTACTTTTTAAAACCTTTCTGATATTTGTCACCTATGATTATTCTATCTGGAATTCTTGTTTCTCTTATCCATTCAGCAAATTTATACTCATCTTTTAAGACCCAGGTGAAACATAAGTGCTCTGTAAAATTTTTTCTCACTCAAATAGGAGTCATCTATGCCATGACTGGAGCTTCTCATTCCACTGGATTATGTCTGTTTCTGGTGCTGCACTGAGGTCTTCGTGTATTCAGCACTTAATATGGTACCCAGAATGTATTAGACACGCAGTAGTTCCTTAATGAAGGAAAAAGATTCCTAAAAACTCCTGAAAGAAGTTTTTCTTCATATATCAAGATTCCTTTACCATTCTGATCATCTTTAAATATGCTACTCTGAATTGAACCTGATACTTTGAGTAATGCCTGAGCAGTGTAATATGTAATGTGATTTACTGTCTTTTCATCTGAATGCAAAATTTTTATTAATGCTGCCAAAAGTTGTATTGGCCTTGCTCATACTGAATTTGCAGGCAACAAAATTGCTGTTTTTTGTTTTTTTGCATGAAATGCTATCAAGCCAGGTATTGTCTTCACATATGTATACAATTAGAATTTTAAGCCTGAAGACAACTTATATCCAATTTTGGTTTTAATTTTTCTGAATAGCAATGGGCTTATTTTCCCTCCTTCTAGTTTGCTATTTCTCTTGTAATTTTCTAGTGTTTTGTTCTGCAAAACTATTATAATACAACCTCAGGAAGTCCTAGCCAGAGCAATCATGCAAGAAAAAGAAATAAAGGGTATCCAAATTGGAAAAGAAGAAATCAAACTATCTCTGTATGTCGACAATATGATCCTATACCCGGAGAATCCTAAAGAATCCTCCAAAAGCCTCCTGGACTTGATAAATGAATTCGGTAAAGTTTAAGGATACAAAATCAACACACACAAGTCAGTAGCACAGCTATACACCAATAGCAGCCAGACTGAGAATCAAATCAAGAACTCAGTTCCATTTACAATAGCAGCCAAAAAGTGAAAATAGCTAGTAGTATATTTAACCAAGGAGGTAAAAGATCTCTATAAGGAGAACTATAAAGCTCTGATGAAAGAAACTGTAGAGGACACAAACAAATGGGAGAATATCCCATGCTCATGGGTTGGAAGAATCAACATTGTTAAAATAACCATATTACTCAAAATAATCTGCAGATTCAACACCATCCCTATTAAACTACCAATGTTACTTTCTACAGAATTAGAAAAAAAATCCTAAAATTCTTATGGAACCAAAAAAAGAGCCAGAATTGCCAAAACAATCCTAAGCAAAAAGAACAAAGTTAGAGGCATCACATTACCTGACTTCAAACTATACTACAAGGCTGTAGTAACCAAAACAGCATGGTACTGTTACAAGAGCAGACATGTGGATCAATGGAACAGAATAGAGAATCCAGAAATAAATCCAAATACCTACAACCAAATGATCTTTGGCAAAGCATACAAAAACAATACACTGAGGAAAGAACACGCTATTCAACAAATGATGCTGGAAAAATTGGATAGCTACGTGCAGAAAAATGAAACTTGATTCCTATCTCCCCCTATATACAAAAATGGATTAAAGACTTAAATGTCAGACTTGAAACCATAAAATTCCTAGAAGAAAACCTAGTAAAAACTCTCCTGGACATTGGACTAGGCAAAGAATTTATGGCTAAAACCCTAAAGTGCAACAAAAACAAAAACAAATGGAACTTAATTGAATTAAAAATCTTCTGCACAGCAAAAGAAATAATCAACAGAGTAAACAGGCATCCTACAGAATGGGAGAAGATATCCACAAACTATACATCTGATAAAGGACTAATGTCCAGAACCTACAAAGAACACAAACTAATCATCAAGAAAAAAGTAAATAACCCCACTAAAAAGGGAGCAAATGACATGAACAGACGTCTCTCAAAAGAAGATATACAAATGGCCAACAAACATGAAAAAATGCTCAACGTAACTCATCATCAGGGATATGCAAATTAAAACCACATGAGATACCTTATAGCAGTCAGAATGGCCATTATTAAAAAATAAAAAAGCAATGGATGATGGTGTGGTCGCAGAGAACAGGGAACACTTATACACTGTTAGTGAGAGAGTGTAAATTGGTGCAAACTCTATGGAAAGAGGTATGGAGATTTCTCAAACAATGAAAAGTAGATCTACCATTTGATCCAACAATCCCACTATTAGATATCTGCCCCAAGGAACAGAGGTCGTTTTATTCATTGCAGCACAATTCACAATTATAAAGATGTAGAATCACCCTAAATGTCCATCAGCCAATCAGTGGATAATAAAAATGTGGTATATATACTCTGTGAAATACTATTCAGCTATCAAAAAGCATGAAATAATATTTTGCAGCAACTTGAATAGAATTGGAGAACACCATCCTAAGCAAACTAACTCAGGAACAGAAAAACAAAAAATGCCTGTTCTCACTTACAAGTGGGAACTAAACTAAGAATATACAAAGACGTAAAGAATAGTATAATGAACACTGGAGACTTGGGGGGGGAGGGACAAAAAAAATCACATATTCGGTACAGGTGGGGGTGGTAGGAAGTTTTAAAGCCCAGACCAAAAACCATCTGTATACCCCAAATGTATTGAAATTTAAAATAATAATAATAATTTGAAAAGTACAACCTCAAAAGATTGGACTTCATCAATTTGGAGTTGATGATAATGAGACTCTAACTTTACTAAAGTTTATCTTTGCCTTAACTATAAAGAAAAGCTTTACTAAATAAAACTCCCTTCAGAAAAAAAATTTCTTTAAAAGACTGTAGTGCAGGCTGGGCATGGTAGCTTGTGCCTATGAGTAGGGAGGCTGAGGTGGGTGGATACCTTGAGCCCAGGGAGTTGAGGCTGCCATGAATTATGATTTGTGTCACTGTATTCCAGTCTTGGGTGACAGAGTGAGACCCTCACTAAAAAAAGAAAAGAAGATTGATATAGGGGGAAGAAAAGATCATAGTGCAAAATGGTACTGACGTTAAAGCATACTTTCTCATTAGTTCAGTCACTGTCTGGTCCTGAGATTTCATACCTAGGGATCATCCACATCTTCAAGTTTGGGAAGTCAGAGGCAGAGTCAAGTAATAACACAGGTAATAAATGCTACTACAATTGAGTTAAGTACAGAATGCTGTGAGGGCCTGGAGGAAGCTAGTATAATTCTGTTTGTGTTACTGGGAAAATTTTGCAAAAGAGAGAGCAGTGAACAGGGTTTTGAAGTGTGAATAGGAAACTATATAATAAAAAGAAAGATCAGCCAGGCTCGGTGGCTCAGTCTGTAATCCCGCACCTTTGGGAGGCTGAGGTGAGTGGATTGCCTGAGCCCGCGGGTTCGAGACCCGCCTGGGCAGTGAGACCTCATCTCTACAATAAATCAAAAAATCAGCCGGGTGTGGTAGCACATGCCTGTAATTCCAGCTACCTGGAAGGCTGAGAAGGAAGGATCACCGGAGCCCAGCAGGTCGAGGTTGCGGTGGCCGGGAGCGGCCACTGCGTTCCAGTCTGGGCGACAGAGTGAGACTCCAACTCAAAAAAAAGAAAAAGATCATTCTGGGAAGAGGAAGGGACATGTATAAAGTCATAGTGGAGACAGGGTATGGCATATCTAGGAATAGTGAGATGTGTGGTGGTTGGGGAGGAAAGGAGTTTTGAGGGAATAGTAGAAGACGTAACTAGAGTGGTAGTTGGGTCCTGTTTATAAATCTTGGTGGTAGTAGGAAGCGAATAAAATTTAGTAAGTGGCAGTTATTATGATAAGGTCAGATCTCTTTTTGAAGAACTTGGGAAGCAGTGTTGAAAGTAGACAATGAGTCTAAGAGAGGGAGACCAGCTATGTTACACATAATCTATACCAAATAGATGTTGAAGGAATAGATGAGATAAACAACTCTGTTGAGGTAGGTGTTACTCCATTTGATGGATAAACAACAGGCTTAGCAAAGATAAATACTAGTAGGTACATAGCCAGTAGGTGGGAGATTTGAATGTAAGTTTGTCTGTTTCCAAATTCTGCGTGATTGCTTCCTTTCCTTCCCTTTCCTCTTTCCTTTTTTCCTTTCCTCTTCCCTCTTCCATTCTCCTCCCTTATACTTTTGAGTTGGGGTCTTGGGGTCTTACTCTGTTTCCTAGGCTGGAGTGCAGTGGTGTAGTCGTAGCTCGCTGCAGCCTCAAACTCCTGGGTTCAAGCAATCCTCCTATCTCAGCCTCCCTCATAGCAGGGACCACAACTACACTACCATGTCTTGCTAATTTTTTTAGTTTTTGTATAGATAAGGTCTCACTGTGTTGCCCAGGCTGGTCTTGAACCCCTGGGCTCAAGCAGTCCTCTCTCCTCAGCCTCCAAAAGTGCTAGGATTACAGGTGTGAGCCACTGCACCCAGCTCTTTCTACTTGGTATCATTCTACCTTGTGGACTATCATGAATGATTATTTGCTTCAAATATAGCAAAAATTAAGTCCAAAGGATTTTGTACCATGGTGGTGGCATATGTTACAGTAGGGACAACCACATGGTCTTGATCTGTCTAGGATAAAAGACCTTGAAGTCCAAGGCCTTCTTCAGCAGCTTTCCTATATCTGTGTTTGATTCTACGACGTCCTTTGTCATGTGCCTCTTGTTGCTTTGACTGTGCTGATCCAAAGTATGTTGCCTAACAACAAAGCCTTGCTGTTTGGGCCATTTCTGGATTCAAGAAGGAAACTTACTTGCTTTGACTCCACTCTTGTCTAATACCTGCTTTTGTAAATCCTTTGATCTCGACTATCTTAATTTGTCTTTCTCTAATCCAGGGCTTGGCACACTACGGTCAGCAGACCAAATCTGGCTTTACCTCATCTTCTGAAACCATCACCTCTCTTCCTAACCCTGTTTTCTTTCTTCTGTGGAATCTTACTTCAATGCTTGTTTGTAAGAATAATTTGGCAGTTGATTCTTTTGTGACATTGCTTCTGTCATCATCTCCATAGTTATTTAAATCTATTTTAATACTTTTTGTGAATTAGTCTTAGCTGATAAACTACATTATAAATGTTTTGGGGCATGTAACGCCTTTTCTTTGTTTATTTCTCACAGCACCACCTTTCTTCCTCACCACTCATTCCCTCTTTAGCCTACTGATCTCTGGTGACTGTTTCCATTATTACATATTTACATATGATAACCTGATTTTTTTCTTCATTTGTGAGTTCTATCATTATATCACTGTTTCTTTTTCCAGTATGTTATTGCCATTTTTGTGTTTAGTGGTTTTTCATATTCGACATTGTAAGGCATATTCAATCTGGTAACTTGCATCTTTCACTTAATATTATATTAGGTAATATCTCATTATATATATCGATAGTACCTAATATAATATTAAGTGAATGATGCATTATATACTATATATGAAATGAAATATTACTTAATAAGATGGGAAACCATTTATATATATAAGATTATATATATATATAAAATTTTAATGGCTGAATAATAGTCCAGTGTATGGCCTATCCATAATTAGCCTAACCATTCCCTCAATATTGGAAATTAAGGTTATTCTTAGTTTTTGTTTTGCAGTTATGAACAATGGTGTAATGAAAATATTTTATATAAAAGTTTTTCTACATTTCAGATGACTTTCTTCAATAGATTCCTAGAATCTAAATTATTAGGTCAAAAGGTACACACATTTTGAAAGTTCTTGTTATGTGGGCTGTGGCATTTTGATTTGATTAATTCTTTGCCAAAGGATAGTTTAAAAACACAGTGAAATTTGCCTTAATAATCAGTGCCTTAACATTTGCCATTGCCAATTTTATTAGTTTTTAACTTTTTTTGTGTACTTCTTTTTCCCAGGTGAACATCTTTATATTGCCTACTGTAAACTGTTACTTGTCTTTGGCAAGTCAGTGAGCAATTGCATTAGTTTAAGACAATTTGTTCTTGGCTATCATCTGTACTCTTACAGGGCGGGTAAGAAAGAATAAATTTAAAAATAATAGATTAAAGGAAAACAGTTTAGTTTGGTTTTAGAACACATTTGTAGTTCACTTCCTGTGTTGCCTTCCACCTTCCTACTTCCAAATGATTGGGTTAATTTTTTTTTTTTTTTTGAGTCGGAGTCTCACTCAGTTGCCCAGGCTGGAGTGCAGTAGCACACTCACGGCCACTGCTGGGTTCAGGCAATCCTTCCTCCTCAGCCTTCCAAGTAGCTGGAACTACAGGTGCACGCTACCACGCCCGGCTAATTTTTGATTTATTGTAGAGATGAGGTCTCACCTGCCCAGGTGGGTCTCGAACCCGTGGGCTCAGGCAATCCACTTACCTCAGCCATCCAAAGGCACGGGATTACAGGCTGAGCCACCAAGCCTGGCTGGTTGGCTTAAGTTATTTTATTTTTTAATTTTTTTTGAGTTGGAGTCTCACTCTGTCACCCAGACTGGAGTGCAGTGGCCACTCCCGGCCACCACAGCCTCGACCTGCTGGGCTCCAGCGATCCTTCCGCCTCAGTCTTCCAAGTAGCTGGAACTACAGGCGCGGGCTACCACACTCAGCTGCTTTTTTGATTTATTGTAGAGATGAGGTCTCGCTACCCAGGCGGATCTCGAACCCGCGGGCTCAGGCAATCCACTCACCTCAGCCTCCCAAAGGCGCAGGATTACAGGCTGAGCCACTGAGCCCGGCTGGTTGGCTTAATTTAATGTTAAAATTTCTTCCTTCACATATTCTTTTTTTTTTTTTTTTTTGAGTTGGAGTCTCACTCTGTCGCGCAGACTGGAGTGCAGTGGCCGCT